TACAGAGTCAGACACAACTAGATTTCATGTCAAAGGGAAACCTTTACTTTTTTATCTGTGATGGAATAGTTGTTTTTGTGACAATTTTGGATGAAAAATAATCTGTTTTGGGGAGAGGTATCTTTTTTTAAACTATATTTTTATTGATATTTTGTTTTGTGAGCAGATTTATACAATTAATACATGCATGCCGTCTATAACCACATTTCTCTACACCCTTCCTTTATCCTCCACCTCCTCCATTCAGTATTATCCACTCACTTATCTAGTATGTCTTAGAGTTCATTCACTCTTTTGTTTTTGTGAGGAATCGGAAGTCTATGAAAAAGAGGCTCTGGACAGTAGTACATGTATTGTGCATATAGCACTTTCACACTCCTATATTAGCATGCATCTACACGGTGAAATGATTGCACTTTGACAATGGTTTAACTGTCATGGCTCAATGCTATGGAATCCTGGCTTTTATAGTTTGGTGGGGCACCCGCACCCTTTGTTAGAGAAGGCTAAAGACCTGGTAAAACTAAAACTTCAATGATTCCATAACCCTGGTAATTAAAGTATCAAACTACATTATTTGTACAGCACAGATGTACTCTCAGAGACTGCAGAATCTCACCAAGGTAGAATGTAGCACAGAATGACTCATATGATGGCACGCCGGAGCCTTTGGGAAAACTATAGTGTCTGGCTTTACTCGGAGGCTATCTGTATACCTTCTGTTAAGATCAAGACCCTTAGCACAAAGAGGCACTTTAGGCAAGATGAAAAGATAACCAAAATAAGTTTACTGAAACAAGATGAATAAAGGGTTATCTCCACCAGGAATGATCACAAAGTAACTTAAAACAATACATTACAAAAGGAGATCTTGCTGGTTGCAGTCATCTTTCTAGGGTCTTTGAAAGTCTTTCTTGCCTGAGGTGCAAAGCGATGAACTGTCTTAATCTTCTCTCCTGTGAAGTTTAGGCTGGCCTTTGGACTGTGAAATTTAGGCCGGCTTCTGTTGTCCTTTGGACTGTTGGTATAGACATAATGCTAAACACAGCAGGTGCTAAGAATGCCCGTTTATGGATTGCTTGGCCTAGGATTACCAGACAATGTCCCAAGTCTCTAGTGACTGTAGAAAAGGGAGGAGTCCAGCAAGAGAGCTCTCTACGAGGAAATGGAATAGACCTACTAAGACTGGCCTCTCAAGGGTGTTATGCTCCACCCAAAAACTAATGCAAAGGAAGGTCTCTACGCTATTGGGGAAGGCCTATAAACAGGGGGAACTAAAGCAGAGGAGAGGAAAAGGTTCAGGGTAGGGTTAGAGTTCACAACTCGGTTACTAGAAAGACTGCAGTCCTAATATGGCCAAAGCCAAAGGTGTTGCTACCCCCTTTTTCTCTACACTTCCCTTTTCTCCAGTTCTCTTTCCCAAATCCCTCTCCCTTTTGACTTACTACACAGTGTCCTTGAAATGCGTCTTGCTTTTTAGACTTCTCCCCACCATTATGTTAAATATAGCATGTAGAGAGAGGGATCCTCCGCCCAGGTTTATGTAATCACCAATTTCATGCAGAGTGTAGAGTACGTAGGTGCAGCTAACTTGTATAGGACTAACTGTGACATTCAGTTCCAAGTGAGCATGCAAAGAACAAAGCTATTAGTATTCAGCTCACTGGGGGTGCATTTACAGTGTAGAATTAATACAGCTCAATACCACTTTAACTGCCGTGGCTCCATGTTATGGAACCATGGGAGTTGTAGTTTTATAAGGCCTTTAGTCTTCTCTGCTAAAGAGATGGGTGCTTTACCCAAGGGCCCTTCCACAAGGGCAAATAACCCATAATATGAAGGCAGAAAATCCTACAATATCTGCTTTGAACTCGATTATCTGAGTCCACACTGCCATATATTCCAATTCCAAGCAGAAAATGTGGAATTTTATTCAGCTATGTGGAAAGGGCCCAACTTTCATGATCCCATGGCATGGATGGTAAAGTGATGTCAAACTGCACTAAAATTACTGCAGTGTAGATGCATCCTTAGGTTGTTTTCAGATCACTGCTCCTACCAAAGGGTGGGAACTGTTCTTCAATTGCAATTCCCAGCTCTTTTTCTTTTTCTTAGGCGATCCCTTGTAGTCCGAGGATGATGGTCCTCCAAGGTCGGTGTTCTGTTGGTGGGTCCGTAGGTGACTGTGGAGCCCAATTCTTGATCTGTATCTTCTCCTGCAGTGAGGGCATCGGTTTCCAGGTGGAAGGCGGTCCCGGTCGGGGTTGGCTTGACATGCCTTCCTCTTGGCATGTTTCTCTCTTTCGCCCTCCATTGCTGGTCAGAGCTGACTTCCAGCTGGAGCGCTCAAGGGCCAGGGCTTCCCAGTTTTCAGTGTCTATGCCAGAGGTTTTAAGATTGGCTGTGACCTGGTCTTCTGTTTAAAAAGTTTGAGGACCCCTGATCTAAGTCATTAATGAAGATGTTGAACAGGACTGGGCCCAAGATGGAGCCCTGCTCGTCACTTCTTTCCAGGACAAAGGAAGCATTAGGGAGAATCACCCTCTGGGTTCATTCACTTAACCCAGGGGTCCTCAAACTTTTTAAACAGAGGGCCAGGTCACAGTCCCTCAAACTGTTGGAGGGCCAGATTATAATTTGAAAAAACATGAATGAATTCATATGCACACTGCACATATCTTATTTGTAGTGCAAAAACACTTTAAAACAATACAATAATTAAAATGAGCAATTTTAACAAATATAAACTTAATTAGTATTTCAATGGGAAGTGTGGACCTGCTTTTTGCTGATGAGATAGGATTGTTGTTGTTGTGTGCTTTCAAGTCATTTCAGACTTAGGTTGACCCTGAGCGAGGGCCAGGTAAATGACCTTGGAGGGCCGTATCCGGCCCCCTGGCCATAGTTTGAGGTCCCCTGCTCTAATCTGTAAGGATGGTTTTGAATTCTGCTCCTGTCTTCTGGCGTATTGGCGATCCCTCCCAATTTGGTGCAAACTTGGTGATCCTGCCTTCTAATCCTTCATCTAAGCCATTAATGAAGATGTTGAAGAGGACTAGGCCCAGGGCGGAGCACTGCTTGTGGCACCCTGCTCGTCACTTCTTTCCAGGATTTTTTTTGTCGTGTCAGGAATGACTTGAGAGACTGCAACTTCTGGTGTGAGAGAATTGGCAGTCTGCATGGACGCTGCCCAGGGGACGCCTGGATGTTTTGATATTTTTACCATCCTTGTGGGAGGCTTCTCTCATGTCCCCGCATGAGGAGCTGGAGCTGATAGAGGGAGCTCATCTGCGCTCTCCCCGGATTCAAACCTGCGACCTGTCAGGGCACAAGGTTTTAACCCACAGCGCCACCGGGGGCTCCAGGATGAAGAGGAAGCATTGGGGAGAATCACCCTCTGGGTTCGTTCACTTAACCAGTTACAGAAGAAGAGCAAAGGGAGGAAGGGTGCTCACCAATGCTTCCTCTTCATCCTGGAAAGAAGTGACGAGCGGAGTGCCGCAGGGTTCCATCCTGGGCCCGGTCCTGTTCAACATCTTTATTAATGACTTAGATGAAGGGCTAGAAGGCAGGATCATCAAGTTTGCAGACGGCACCAAATTGGGAGGGATAGCCAATACTCCAGAGGACAGGATCAGAATTCAAAAAGATCTTGACAGATTCTAACAAATGGGCCAAAACTAACAAAATGGGCCAAAACTAACAAAATGAAGTTCAACAGGGACAAATGCAAGATACTCCACTTAGACAGAAAAAATGAAATGCAAAGATACAGAATGGGGGACAATGCCTGGCTCAAGAGCAGTATGCGTGAAAAAGATCTTTGAGTCCTCGTGGACAACAAGTTAAACATGAGCCAACAATGTGATGTGGCGGCAAAAAAAGCCAATGGGATTTTGGCCTGCCTCAATAGGAGCATAGTGTCTAGATCTAGGGAAGTAATGCTACCCCTCTATTCTGCCTTGGTTAGACCACACCTGGAATATTGTGTCCAATTCTGGGCACCACAATTCAAGAGAGATATTGACAAGCTGGAATGTGTCCAGAGGAGGGCGACTAAAATGATCAAGGAGTCTGGAGAACAAGCTCCAGACTGTTTAGCCTGAAGAAGAGAAGGCTGAGAGGAGATATGATAGCCATGTATAAATATGTGAGAGGAAGCCACAGGGAGGAGGGAGCAAGCTTGTTTTCTGCTTCCCTGGAGACTAGGACGCGGAACAATGGCTTCAAACTACAAGAGAGGAGATTCCTTCTGAACATGAGGAAGAATTTCCTGACTATGAGAGCCAGGCCCGTAGCCAGGATTTCGTTTCGGGGGTAATTTTTTTTCAGGGGGGGGTTCGGGGGGGGGGCTGAGTTTCGGGGGGGGGGCTGAGTCTGAGTGAAAGAGGGTCTAGCCTAGCAAACCTTTTGTATCATTACCCCAATACCCCCATGCATATGGGATATATTGAGTATGGTGATCAGATCATGATATGAATAAACGTAACAGTTTAAATAATGCACCAGTAAGGCCTTTTTGCGAACCACCATGAGAATTTCGGGGGGGGGGGGCTGTTACCTTGTTTCATAACAAGCAACACCTGCAGAGGCTGGATGGCCATCTGTCAGGGGTGATTTGAATGCAATATTCCTGCTTCTGGGCAGGGGGTTGGACTGGATGGTCCATGAGGTCTCTTCCAACTCTTTGATTCTATGATTCTAAGAGAAGGAGGAAGAAGAGAAGGGAGAGGAGGAAGAGAGAAGAAAAAGGAAGATAAGGAGGATGTGAAGGAAGAGAAAGTGGAAGAGAAAGGGGGAGGGAGGAGAAGAGAAAGAGGAGGTGCCTGCAACCTGCACTCCCTTCTTGGTGGCCCCTTGGCAACTGGCTGCGTCCTCAGCCTCTGCGAGGAGGAAGGAGGGGAGGAGGGAGGGAAAGGGGCGGGCTCCTCCTCCTGATTGACAGCCATCCCAAGCACCTCCCTTCCTCCGCCCAATACAGAGCGAAGGGAAAGGAGAAGCTGCGGGAGGAGGGTCCTGCCCGCTGCTGGCCGCCTCCTCTCTCTCCCCCTCCCTCCTTGCCTTCCTCCCTGCTTCCTTCCTGCTCTTCTCCCGCGCCGCTTTGCTAGAGGAGCGCCGGCTGGGCATGGCTGGGGTCTGCTGCTGCTGCTGCGAGGCTCTGGAGCAGAGGACCAAGGAGCAGGTGAGGAGGAGAAGTGAGTGGGCAAAGAGGAAGGAAAGAAGGAAGGAGAGAGAGACCAACCTGGGCGAGGCTTAGTTGCAGGGCTGCTTAATTTAGGCAGAAAATAAAAGAGGGGGAGTCAGTTGGAAGGATTCTCTCTTTGCCCCCCTTTTCCTCGCCTTCCTTTTGGGAAGCTCTCCCCACTTTGGTGCATCCCATCCTCCCCAGTTTTTCCTCTCTACACTCTAGATTCCATGCAGATTGATCCCACTTTTAACAGCCATGGCTCAAGGCAGTGGGATCCTGGGATCTTCAAGGCCTTGGCTGCCCAAAGCCTGGTGCCTCATCCACTGCAAGTGATCTGGCTCCCTTGAGCCAGGGGTGCCACACTACTGCCTTGGCTCTGCAGCAGCAGATGCAGCCTCAGCCTTGGGAGAGGCTCAGCAAAGAGCCTCCCTCTTTCTGCCAAGGCAGTGTGGCCAATGGGGCCGGGTGGGTGGGTGGCACAGGCACCTGTTGCGGATTTGGCCTGGCCCGCCTGCTGACCTCCCTTTCAACTGTGCCTGGCTAACAGGATTACAGATCCCACTGAGCTGCCTCCCCCTCCAGCCTCCACCCCCCCCCCCCAGCAGCACATCCACACCGTGGAATGGATGCACATCCACACCACTTGCACTGCTCAAGCTCTGTTGTCCTGCAAGTTGTCATTTTACAAAGCCTTCCTTTCGCCTGACTCCCATGAATACCTAGCATTGAGCCATGGTGTCCAAAGTGCTGTCAAGTCACATTCGAGATGCCCCCGATATTCCTTATGGGAGTCCTTCACTGCTTTTCCCTCTCCCCCTCCTCATCCTCTTTGGGGTAAATTGGCATTCTTTGGGTTCCCAAGCCAGTTCCAATTCCTTGCTTTCTTCATATTACATCACAGTGACTTTCCTTCCCCCCCCCCCCCCTTTGGTTTTGTTGTTGTTTGGTATTATCCTTTCCTTGGCGAATTAGGGGGGTGAAATCGAGGTCACATCAAGGCCCCTTCCACACAGCTGAATAACATCCCACATTATTTGCTTTGAACTGGGATATATGGTGGCGCAGTGGGTTAAACCGCTGAACTGCTGAACTTGTTGGCCAAAAGGTTGCAGGTTCGAATATTGGGAGCAGTCTGAACTCCCGTGTTCACAGCCCCAGTTTGTGCCAACCTAGCAGTTCGAAAACATGCAAATGTGAGTAGATCACTCCGGCAGGAAGGTAATGGCACTCCATGCAGTCATGCTGGCCACATGACCTTGGAGGTGTCTACGGACAACACCGGCTCTTCGGCTAAGGAATGGAGATGAGCACCACCCTGCAGAGTTGGACACGACTGGACTTAATGTCAGGGGAATACCTTTGCCTTTTACTATATGGCAGTGTGGAATCAGCTAACCCAGGGCCCTTCCACACAGCCCTATATCCCAGGATATCAAGGCAAAGAATCCCACAATATCAGTTTTGAACTGGGCTATCTGAGTCCACACTCAGATATCCATGGACTGTCTGACCCTGCCCTTCCTTGGTTGGTCATATGAGGCTGGCAGATATTCTGAGCTGTTCAGGTGTTGTCAATGCCTGGCAAAATAGAGTTAGAGGAAAATCAGGATCCCAGCATAGAGTGACTTTCACATCACTGTGGGTAAGGCTCCTTTCAAAGATAACGGGCCTTCATACAGCCCTATATCCCAGAATATCAAGGCAGAAAATCCCACATGATCTGCTTTGAACTGGGTTATCTGAGTTGACACACAGATAATGTGGGATTTTCTGCCTTGATATTTTGGGATATAGGACTGTGTGGAAGGGTGCTGGGTTATTTAAGGCCCCTTCCACACAGCTGTATATAATCCCATATTATCTGCTTTGAAGTGGGTTATATAGCAGTATGGACTCGGATACCCTAGTTCAAAGCAGATATTGTGGGATTTTCTGCCTTGATATTCTGAGTTACATGGCTGTGTGGAAGGGCCCTGAGTCCACACTGCCATATGTTCCAGTTCAAAGCAGATCATGTGGGATTTTCTGCCGTGATATTATGGGTTACATGGCTATGTGGAAGGGTCCTGAGTCTGCACTGCCATATATTCCAGTTCAAAGGAGATTGTGTGGGATTTTATTCAGCTGTTTGGAAGGCACCAATGTGGAGGCTTCTTCCGGTGACAATGTTATTCTGCTCTTTCATGTGTGTTTCATTTGTGCCTTCAAGCTGCCTGTTGAGTTACTGTGTCCCTATGAATTTCATAGGGTTTTCTTATGCAAGGAATACTCAGAGGTGGTTTGTAAGCTCCTTCCTCTGAAATAGAGCCTACTGCAGCAAGTGTTCATTGGGAGCATCAGAATACTAACCAGGGCTGATCCTACTTAGCTTCCAAGATAAGACAAGATCTGGTGCCTTTAGAGTATTTAGCCTCTGTCAAGTCTCCATAATTCCCTCCCCTTCTGCATTTGACAACATCATGGTGTTTATGAATACTCAAAATCAGCTAAGCATAATTCAGGTACAGGCAGTCCCCGAGTTACAAATATCTGGCTTACAAATTACTCTGAGCTAAGAACGGGGTGAGACAACAGGAAGTGAAAGAAATCTACCCCTCAGAAGGGAAATCCACTCGTTAAAGAGTTATCATGGGAGAAAAGTGTCTCCACTGAAGCTTTATTGCCAATCCTTGTTTCTGCAAGCCATTTTTTTCCCCAAAACCCAATTCTCACAGTGATAGAAAGGGAGATGAGATCTGAACAGGGACATAGACAGCAAAACATAATACAGGAGTGTTAACCCTTCCCTCTGCTATCCAAAACTGAAATATATGTATTTGCCCATAGTTACATTTTTGTACCTGTTTCGACTTACATACCAATTCAACTTAAGGATATACCTATAGAACCTATCTTGTTTGTAACTTGGGGTCTGCCTGTATACAAAAAGGATATATGATGCTGATGTCTCAGGCCTTTCCCTATTGAGCTTGATCTCTCTCTTACGTTCTGATGCTGTTCCATATCAAAAAAGAGAGAGAAGTGAAATCTCTCGTGGGAGTTCTGCATTAAATATTGCATTCTCACATAGTGAGAAGTATTTGAGAGGTGGGGGGAGGATGTTAAAGGACAGTGGGATGCTCTGAGCTAAAGTCCCTAGTTTTCTAATTCAGAAAATTAACATACTTGCTACTTAAGATCTGCATTTAGCTTTGTTGTCTTCCTATCCAGAGTTGGTTTGTGGCCAGGGGAGGGGGGTGTATTGTGTATTTCAGTGCATGTTGATTTTCATTCATTCTAATTTTACCATCATTCCGGAATTCCAGTTGAGGAGGGTGTCCTGCCATCCCCACCACCTCCATAATAGTTTAGATAATATTTTACCTTGTATCCAGGTTGTTTTACCTTCTGTTACTTAGCAGAAATCTGTTTTGAGGTTGAAACTAATATACATTGAGGATCTCTTGTCCAAAGTGCTTGGGATCAGAAGTGCTTTGGATGTCGGATATTTTCATGTTTTGGAATGCCTATATTTGCATATATGATCATAATGAGATATCTTGGAGATGGATCACAAGTCCAAATGCAAAATCCATTGGTGTTTCATATAGTCTGAACATAATGTCATATGTTATTTTTAATTGTGTGCATGAAACAAAATTTGTATGCACTGAACCATCTGAAAACTAAGGCACTACTGAGGACCCTTCCATACAGCTATATAATCCAGAATATCAAGGCAGATAATCCATACTATCTGCTTTGAACTGGGTTATCTGAGTCAACACTACCATATAACCCAGTGCAAAGGGTTATATGGTAGTGTTGGGTTATATGGTAGTATGTGGGATTGTATACATCTGTGTGGAATGGGTCTCAGTAACCCATTTGGACCCATTTTGGATTCAGAAGTATCTTAAATGCACTAGATCCTGTCTGATCTGAGAAGCTATGCAGGGACAGCCCTGGTTAGTACTTGAATGGGAGATAGTCAGTGAATATTAGGCCCTGTAGGCTATATTTAAGAGGAAAGAACTGGCAAAAATGTCCTCTGAGTCTTCCTTGCCTAAGAAAACTCTTGAAATCCATAGCATTGCCATGACAGGGAACTTGAAGGCCTATAGGCACACAGATCTTTAAAGGTGCTAACTTTCACATCCCTTGTATTCCTTTTTAAAAACAAATTATTTGATTAAGTATGATGCTGTACTAGCGTTAACACATGAAATTGTGTCTCTTTTAATCTCTTAAAATTTAGAAGGTGTATCTATTTAGTTTGGTGGGGTAGAAGTTTGAATGAGGCCCCTCCACACAGCTGAATAAAATCCCACATTGTCTACTTTGAACTGGGATATATGGCAGTGTAGACTTGGATAACCCAGTTCAAAGCAGATATTGTGGGATTTTCTGCCTTGATATTCTGGATTATATGGCTGTGTGGAAGGGCCCTGAGAAAGGAGCTGCCAGAGTTCACTGTGCTTTGGTATAATTCAGTATTCTCCCCTTTGCCACGAATGTTACAATCTTCTTAGCTTTCAAAACAAGGTTGGGATTCAGCAGTTAAGACTTTCAAGAAATTTCCAAATGCAGAAAGAGATTTTTGGAGCAGGGAGGGGGCCTCACGAGTTGGTGATGTGGCTGTGATCCGTCCTAGTGGTTGCTACTTATTTGGGTCACAGCAATGCCTTGCAGTGCCAACAAGGGTTCTTGTGTTCCAGGATCTTCATTAATACATGAGCAAAGAGATGGAAAAATCCATTTCCCAGACAGCTTGTTGTCTTGTGCCAGGCTGTTGTGTGTGTGTGTGTGGGGGGGGGGGATGAACAGAAAATTGCAAAATAAAAATTGTGTCTGAGGAAAGCAAGCAAATGTTGTAAAGTTGGAGTTGCTTTTTAAAGGGAACCAGTGCCACCTTTGGTATTAGATGGTCTCATTTCTTATAGCCACAATGAATGGACACACCCAGCCCCTCATTGGACAGGCAAATTTTATTCTGGTTATTTAGACATGTAGAG